TGGAATAATTTAAAGCAAATCCCAGATATGTGATTGCATGGTGACATTTTTCTCTAAATATATCCACCATATCATAATCGAACCTAATAAGATGAGTTGAGAGATCTGCTAAAGGTGGAAATTGGTCAAATGTGTGAGAGCAGGACCAGGCCTCATTGCCTCAAGCTATCTCAGTCCTGAGAAAAGCATCCTGCCTGGTCCCTGTCACCTAGTAGTCACTAGGCAACCTTGTGTCACATGATACTAACTCAAACCTCTATTGTTGGTCTAGGGGTCCTTTGCCAATCAGGCAAACAGGCCTCCATCTGACCCCAGCTCATGTCTTCTTGTCTTTAATTTCCTCATTCCTGCCACCATTTCTCTCCCTGGGGTACACCTAGAGAGACCAACGAGTCACTACAATGAGTAATTCCTAAGTACCACTAAATTGTTCATACTCAAATTTGCTCATTGTCTCAAAAGTTTGTTTGAATCAAGGTCATAAGGTCTTTGATCCTGTATCTTAAGCCCATAATAGTCTACCCTGCTCCCATATTTGATTGTAGCTGGTACAGAAATTAGGTTATCTAAAAAAAAAAAAAAAAAAAAGGCCGGGGAGATGGCTCAGTGGAATAAGCGCTTCCCTGGCAAGTGCAAGGGCTTGAGTTCAATCCCCAGTTCCGCAAAAAAAAGAAAGAAAGAAAGAAAAGAAATTAGGTTATCTGCCCAATGGAAGCTGATCATTTCCTTGGTGTTTATCTTATTTCCACTTCCCTTTAATTGTTGGTTAGATATGTCTTGATTAGCTTTGAATTCAGTTTGAGGGATCAAGAATACTTCCTAGGAGACACGCGGTGTTTTCTCCTGTATACAGTATGCAATATTTCATGTCTGGTCATCTCAGGGTTTGTTTGAGTACTGGGCATTGATTCTAGAGCCTTCACACTGAACTTTATTCTCAACTATATCCCGCTTTTTAAATTTTGAGACATGATTTTACTAAATCATTAAATTGCCCAAGCCATGTTAGAATTTTCAATACCCCTGCCTTGGCCACCCAGAAAAATGGAATTACAGACTAGTGGCCTGCCTGGCCAAAGTAGGATCACTTTTAACATACTAAAAATGCCCACAGTTTGTTAGGAGGAAAGCTGTCTGAACCTTGGGTGTCTAGCAACAAAGTCATTGCTTCTCAAGAGTTGGGCTGTATAAGTGTTTGAAGCTCAAGGAGCTGACACACAAAGTGGCTTGATCTTCTCTTGAGATAATATAAACAACTACTCTCTTGTACCCTGTACAATCACCAAAGCATGACGTTTTGTTGAAGATTTGATGTTTTTCCTGTTCTGGATCCTATCCCCACTCCCCTTCACAATTCTCTGTATAAGTAAACAAGCTGCAGTTGTTTGGCAGCCCTTCATCCCATCAGGAGGGGGGTCCACCTGACTTAAGCTTGCTGACTCTTTTTTTCTTTTCTTTCTTTCTTTCTTTCTTTTTTTTTGTACCAGGGATCAACCTCATGAACCTTATGTTTGCTAGGCAGGAGCTTAAGCCACTAAGCTATCTCCCCAGCCCATGCTTTCTGACTCGTGTCTTCATTTCTTTATCCTCCACTATCCTCCCTCCAGCATTACAAGAGCTGCACTGGACACAACAAGAGTTGTGCGTGGTATCAACCCGATGCCCTTTTCTTTTTAAAAAGCAGATGTTGGGCCGCAGAAATAGTTCAACGGTGTAAGCACCTGCCTAGGCAAGCACAAACTCAAGGATCTGGGTTAACCCCATTACAGAATGCCTTGCCAGCCCCAATCTGGGTGTGCCAGGCCATGGAGACTGGGCATGATGATGCACATCTGTGATCCCAGTGCTTGACAGGATGAAAACAGGAGGATCCCTACGACTCCGAGCCTGTACCAAATACATAAAATTAAAAAGATAATAAAATAAAAAGCAGTTGTCACACGTTTATCAATAATAGACATAGTCAGGGCCGGGGAGATGGCTCAGTGGAATAAGCGCTTCCCTGGCAAGCGCAAGGGTCTGAGTTCAATCCCCGGTTCTGAAAAAAAAAAAAAAGACATAATCAAATGTTGAAATCTTACTAAATACATTAAAAAAAAACAAAAATTTTTTTAAATGTTGAGATCTTACCCAGAGATAGCAATCTTCCCAATAATGTTCCATTATCTTTCTTAACACTGAACTATTGTTCAAGGTCATGTCAGATTTATCATCACAAATTACTATGGGAAGGGGCTGGTGAGATGGCTCAGTGGTCTAAAGCACCTACTTAGAACAAGCTTAGCTAAAGCACAGGACCGCAGTTCAATCCCCCAGCACCACATGCCTGCCAGCCCCGCCCCCTGGTGGGCTGAGCTGGCCACAGACACACACAAATAAATAAT